AGCTGCCAATGGTTCGCCTCTCACGACGACACGCGAGGTGTCTGCGGCGCGGCGTGCTGTCCAGGCTGCACAGGAGGCTAATGAGGCCGCAACTTGTTTTTTTCTTTCTCGTTTGTTCTTTTCCTTTTTTCATGTGTTTGTTCATACTTGTAGTTTGTTTGTTGTCTCTCGTTTCCGTTTTTCTTTCTTCTTCTTTTTCCGGTGTTTGTTTCTAATTGTAGTTTGTGTTTGTTTTCTCTTTTTTTCTTCTGTGTTTGTTTCCTATTTTATGTTTTTTCTCTCTCTTTTTTGTTTGGGGGGGGGGGAGTAACGAGAGTTTTCCAAAGGAAAGCAACAATCCATGTGTGAGGGCCAAGTCCCTAATTTTGACACAGGAACACGTGAATTGGGAGGCAATATGTATATATATATATAGATATAGATGATAAATGTATGGTCACGCGGTCATATATGCTGCATATGTTATGATATTGAGTCGACTGGGCGTAGTGGAAGCCATTCGGGGCATTGCTTTCTGCGAGCTCACCGAACGAGCTCATTTGGGGGGATGGTCCCCATGAACTTGGTATGGGACTCCACTTCAAAAGAAGTTATGCTCAGTTCAGTCAGGCCGTTAGCTCACTTTCCCAAAGCGAATCGACGTTTCCACCTTATGTTTTCCCCTCGGTCCATTTCCGAAAAGATCAATCTGTTATTTGTGTTTGGGCAACTGAATTAAAATCTATTTGTTTAGTTTTGAAGATCGGTTTTGCGGAAAGTCTGGACTGATTCCAAAGAGCACAGGTTTGGCTCCTCCGCGGCAACCGTTCCGAAGGGTTGCAATGTCGCCAATGCCCCCGTAACATGAGAGTAACAAAAACCGGGTGCAAGCCATGTGATTTTTGCATTTCCCTGATGTCATCTCATACACTCGTTAAACCGCAGGGATAATATAGGGAACCCTTTCCGGTTGCAAAGCAACCATGGCAACCCCTTGGAGCACCAGCTAAGTTGTCCCTTTGCGGGATTGGCAACCCAAGTGAGTTTCGTGTTTGTTGAACCTGAATGAAAGTATGCAAGTACCTGGAGCCTCCATGACCCTTAAAAAATGGGGTCATTACCCAAAATTAAGGGGTTATGACCCCTTTTTCTAGGGGTTGTGGAGACTTCAGGTACGCAAAAGGCATGGAACTTCTTCTTTGGAAATATGCGCTGTGCCACACACTCGCCGGCGGTTGCGCAAGCTCAGGGAATGGGTTTCGTGCGCGGAAGCTCGCGGAAGGGTTTACGGAGTATGTTGTTTGTGCTGACAACGCAGTTGTTTCAACTGGCAAAGGTGAACGGTGCCGACGATCAAGCGTTGAATGAAGACGCGAGGCACGTGCCCAAAAGGCTAGAGGGAGCCAATGGGAACCAGACTCGGGAAGCTTTGGAAAAGGGGCGCGGAAGATCCCCAACCTTCTCGCAGGCATCAGCAAACAAGACTTCCGGCACGAATGGCAGCGACCACAAGACGAGCCACGCGCTTCCACCCCTTCTTGGAAGGAAAGGCTCGAAAACGATTCTAAAACTCTGGTCGCCGAAGCAACATGCGTCTAAATGCGCAAACTTCTGTCCGTGCAACACGCTTCGTGCAAGCTACCCGCGCATGCCGCAGAAGAGACGCGGAAGGGATTTGTGAACCAGAAAGGAGTAAACAAAAACGACACAGGCGGCATGCGAAAGGCAGGTCAGCCTGCATTTTGGCCAAGTTTTAGCGTCCACCTCGGTTTTAGGGTTGGAGTCTGCATGCATTGAAGACTGCTCGTGCTTCACGATTGAAACCTGGTTCCTTGCTCAGAAGCACTAATTAGTCCGCTGACGAAATATGAAGCAGAAGCTGAACATCTTGCTCCCCCACAATGAGCGGAAATTCCGTGCCTGGCACCTCCTTGGGTTCCACGTTGATTCCATTTGCTTAAGGCTATGTTCTATTTTCCCTTGTTGGTTTCAAAAGGAATCGATCGCTTCTGGACATATCTTGACTTTTGCCAGGGGCTTCAGCAAATGGAAGCTTGTAGGGCCAAGTCTGAATGGGAGCTCGGCTCAGGCGGCTCAAGCGGATGACTGCACCCCCACATCCGTCAAAGATGGGGCCTCAGCATGCGGGAAGTGCATGAAACTGGAGAATGTGTTTGTTTTTGAGGCCACACTTTTTGAGTTTTGTTCAAAATGACAATCAAAGGACAGCCAAAACGTATCTTTTTTGGGGGGAAGCGTGCTTGCTTTTGAGATCATTTTAGATTGGCAGCACGTTGTCAGACTATCTGAGCTTCCGGCCCATTACCGAGTATCGGCAATTCTCCATTGACCCAATGGTTTGATTCCGTCTCGAAAGTAGAACTGTCAGCTTTCAAGCGCTCCGGACTGAGGAGCATATGGAACGCGTGCTTCAGGCACGGGCGATGCGTGGGTGAGCAACATTGCCCGCTGCTTCATCAATTCGGGTGTGTTTCATATTGGTGGAGGGGAGGGTGGCCCTTTTAGGCTTTGAAAGCCAAAGGGAAAGCACCTGTTTTGAAAGCCCAGTGTGAGACACTCCGAGAAGTTCGAGGTTGATACAAAAGCGCAAGCTAACACGCAGCGTCTAAAGCTGGTTCATGAAGTCATGACTTCTATGTGCTGAAAAGGAGCACACTTTTACTACTGGACATATTTCTTCTTTTTTTTCCAGGGGGCTTAAGCAAATGGAAGATGAGGCCACGTCATGTAAGTGCCGAAAAAAGTTCGAATGGGATCATGGGAAAACAATTCGTCAGCTACAATGGATGGCAGCAGCTTCCAAGGGTTTTTTGGAGGGTTGGTGTAGCAAGCAATTTTGTTCCCTGGGTCGCTTTCTTTTGCATCCAACATCCGAGAAACGTGTCCTTGCAGAATATGTTTCCTGCATGACGATTCTAGGCAAAGCCACCTTACCCCAGGAGAGTTTGCGATCTTGCCCAAGATATCTGGCGGGGGGGTGATTGTTATAGTATGGCAAGATATGCGTTTTGAGAGGCTGCTGTTTTTTTTGCGGTTATGGAAAGCCAAAAGAACAATCAGCGTGGGTCCAAATCCGCGAGATCAATTCGCATGTTTCGACGTGAAGGGCACAGCTCGCAGGAGTCTGCGGCAGTTTTAGAAGCTGCTGAGCTCACAGCGAGGCGGAGCGCCTTCGAAAAAAGTCGTTTGGTTGGGACCTCTAAAAGAGGCTGCCCTTCAAAATAGCCAGGTTCTCGTTGCTTTGCCTTAGAAATCATCCAAGAAGGCAACCCTCAACACAAAGGCAGGTCCAGACATGCATGTTCCCTTTGTGAGCAGAGGGGAAGTCGCGTTTCTTTCGGGAGCTGGCCTGTTTTCGGGTGTGGATGGGGTAGGGCTGGTTGATCCTGATGCACCCAGGGAAGGTTTGAGACAGGAACCTGGTCTTCCAGCAGCCTCGGCAGGATCCAATCGCGAGCCCATGGAGGTTGTTTTATTGGGATCCTTTTCTGGGGCCTCCGCCAAACAAATAAGTTGTAGGGTTGACGAAACATGACACGCAACTCGAATATCTATATATATATATATATACCTGGAGTCTCCATGACCCCTAGAAAAAGGGGTCATAAGTCATAACCCCTCAATTTTGGGTAATGACCACAGTTTTACAGGGTCATGGAGACTCCAGGAATTTTATCATGTTGGTGTACCCCAAGAGTGGCCCAAGGTTTGGGGTTTCAGAGCCAGAGGACCCTATCAAGTCCCCCGCACTTGGAGGTCTTCTAAAGAAAGGCTGACACAACCACATGATGTTCGGTTTCGAGGTGATGCCGAGCCTTTGTGATGGAGAGCGCACACACACCAAAGGAAAGGAGGAAGGAGTTGTTTCCCATAATTTGTCTGGTTCACTTGCAGCATGATATCTGCCTATGTCAAGAGAGTTCACCTGGAGGTGAAACGAGGTCACCATGATACAGATTCGTTACTTGCAGATTCGTTAATTCAGCTGTTGGAATTACAGTGGAATCTGCAGATGATATGAAGTAGATTGCCTGCACGCGTATTTCACAATTATCAAGAAGGCGTTTTTTTGCGATTCCTGCAGCAAACAGAACCACGCCCCACCACTACACCCCCACCACACCCATTGGTGTCCCTTGGGACGGCAGGCGGCGGCAAACCTTTGCAGAATTCACCAGCATGCTGTCGGAGGAAGTCAAGGAGGCACATGCATCCGCCGGTAAAATGTCGTTTTTTGCAGCCGCACAGGTAGCTTGGCTCATGGTTTTGTGGCTGAGGACAAAAGAGTTGACCCAGCAGGAAGGTTTCCCTTTTTCTGACTTCAGGTATTGTCTTTGCGATGATTTACATAAAGTTGCTGTATGTTATAAATTGATGGTTGAAGTGGCTTGTGAAGGTTAGTCTCTTGAGACAGCGGCGGCAATCCAAAACCATGGTCCTCCATGCAATATATATATAGCTGTATGGTACCACCCCCAAAAAAAACACCAGGTTTTGAACAAAATCACTGGTATTTCCAGTGCTTTGTCACCAAAACCTGCATCTGCCAGAACACACACACTTTTCAGGCCCACTGCCTGCATCTGTCAAAAGCCGCTCATTTGGCAGCCAATGCTGCAACCAAGCACTATGAGGGCATCTCTTCAAGGAAGCGCGTTGGAAACTGAAAAATGAAAAACAACTGAAGAAACTGGAAAAAACTGACAAAAAACAAGGATTCAGGGAAATGGGGGCCCCCCAGGCATGTCCCCCTGAATCCATTTTTCTTCTCAGTTTGTTGTTCTTCTCGTTTTGTTTTTTGTTTTTTTTTTCCCCCCCTGTTTTCCCCGTAGTATTCGCCTTTGTTGTTCCCCTAGTATTGTCTTAACAACCAAGCACTATGATTGCGTAATGGCATCTCTTCAAGGAAGCGCTCTGGAGACTGAAAAAAACTGGAAAAAAAACAGTTAAAAACTGAAAAACAAAACTGGAAAAAACTGAAAACAAACTGAAAAAACTGAAACCAAGGATTCAGGGGGACATGGGGGCCCCCTCCAGGCATGTCCCCCTGAATGCTTGGTTTTTCAGCTTTTTCAGTTTTTTTCACAGTTTTTTTCAGTTTTCCCCTAGCATTCACCTTTATTACTCCCCTAGTATTTTCTGAGTATTCCGGTAGTATTGCCCAGGAAACCTGAGAGGTCCAAATTGAGCTTGAGAGTATACCCCTCGTATTCCCTCAGCACCTAGCATTCTCCTAGTCTCCTTTAGTATGTCCCCTAGTCTTTGAGTATTTCCGTATTTGCCCTAGTATTCCTTTAGTATTCTCTTGGTATGCCCCGAGCATTTCCTAGTAAGGGAAGGGGAATACGGAAATACCTTCAGTATTGTCTAGTATTCCTTAAATATTTTCTTGGTATACCCCTAGTATCAGAATTCCCCTATAGTATGCTCCTAGTGTTCACCTTTAATATTGCCCTAGTCTTCTTTGAGTATTTCCTTAGTGTTGCCCTATGATTGCCCTAGTATTTCCCCTAGTATTGCCCTAGTATTCAATTAATTTAGTAGTCTCTTGGTATACCTAGTAAAGGGATGGAATTACTAGGGGAATACCTTTAGTATTGCCCTGGTATTCCTTCAGTTTTCTCTTGGTATACCTCAAGTATTCTCTCAATATTCTCCTAGAATTCAGTATTTACCTTTAGTATTCCCCTAGTACTTCCCTGGTAGTGCCCCAGTATTGCCCTAGTCAGGAAGCCTGAGAGAAGTCAGACAGATTGAGCGTATACCCTAGTATTCCCTCAGTGTTCCCACGTATTATCCTAGTATTCACCTTTAATATTGCCCTAGTATTCCCTGAGTATGCACCTAGTATTGCCCTAGTATTCCCCTAGTATTGCCCTAGTACTCCTTTAGTATTCTCTTGGTATACCCCTAGTGTTTCCTCACTACCCCCCTAGTGTTCCCCAAATATTTCAGTAGTAAAGGAAGGTGAATATTAGGGGAATACCTTCAGTCTTATCTAACTAACTAGGCAGCTAAATAGATAACTAACTGATTAGCCAATTAACTAGCTAACTGGCTTTAGAGCCATTTCATTACAACTATTTAATTGACTAATTAGCTGACTTGCTGACTGTTTGTTTGACTAGCTAATTGAACTTGCCAACATTTTCTGTTTGACCTTGAAAACTACGCGTTTCGCAGAGGCGAAAATACACATGTTTCTCAAAAGTAGCATTTTTCCAGTGATTTTGGCAACTGTCCAGGTTCAAAACCTGGGTTTTGGAGGGGGGTTGCATATATATATATACACATATACATATATATATATATATATCCCAAACATTCTTTGCCTGCTGGCTTCAGGGATAGGTATCCACACTTTTCAGGGTCATTTGGCCACAAGCAACAGCAGCGACCTTGAGGCGTCGAACGTTGTGTCTCTAATTTGACATGGTTGCAGGATGTACTCGCCTACTGGGCCAGCCCACATAGAACACTGAAGGGGGGGTGGCCCAAAACAGATTCCTCTCAACATGAGAAGTAGTTAAGTGCAATTTTCGGGGGCCTGCGGATCCGAACAAAGCGCCCCAATGCCTGCGAGAGAGGTGCTGAGTTTGGCTTCGGGCAGAGCATTGTGCCTCGCGGCCCCTTTGAAGATGAAATCGCAAAATGGATTCAAGGCCGTTGCTGATGTGTTTGTGTGAGAGTTTTGCGAGAGTACCCAAAAAGCAAAATTGTTTGGTTCGCCTTTGTGTCATTGACAAAGAGGAGTCTAGCTCTTTGATTCGCTTCCGGATTCTCTCCTTGGTACGGCTGTGCGCTTGCTTGCTTTCTCAACATACCTGGCATGATGCGGCTATATAATTTGTAATAGGAAACCACCTCCAAAGATCCCCCAAGTGGTTGGTGAACCTGACGCACACCAAAGGGTCAAGTACCCAAGTACCAAAATTCACACCCATGTCACATGGGTTGAAACCTGACACGTGTCATGGTAAGCTGGTAAAACGGATCAGGATCTCAACAAAACTCGCCGGCCAGGCCGCTGAAGAGTCCATGACCGAGGCCTGCGATGGCCTGTGCTAAATGTCCCTCCCGCGTTGGGGCATGGTTTTTGGAGGAAGCGATGGTATCCGACAGGTGCTATGTTGGAAGGGTAGGCACCGGAACTGGTGGATCTCAAGACATGGGGAAGGATGTCCTTATCTTACATGGCCATCACCTGCTGCATGCGTAAATAATGCACAAGCGGCGGGGATGTGGCCATCGAGATGTGCGAACGTGCCCCTGCTGCTTTACCCTGCAAATTGACCTGGAACCCAGAGTGGTGGTCTCCGAAATAATGTTCCACAAGACATGAGAGTCTCTTTTTTTTGGGCGGGGGGGGTGTCCCATGTTGAGCTGTTGGAGTTTTATTGCGGAGGGCCATTTTTTTAATGATTTTTTTTCGTTTTTTTTTTGGAATTATTTTTGTTTTTCAGGGTCGGTGGCTTTTCGGCTTTTTGGCTTTTGTGGCCGTGGGTTTGTGTGGCTTTCGTGGCTTTTCATTTCGCATCATCTGCATTCACAGTTCCTCTCTTTTCGCATCCTCTGCATTGCCAGTTCCACTGCGGCAGGCGGCTTTTTGGCTTTTTGGCTTTTTGGCTTTTTGGCTTTTGGCGGCTTTCTGGCTTTGGCTTTTCGCAGTTGGCTTCCTGCATCCTCAGCATCGCAAGTTCCTCTTTTCTCCCCCCGCCATTTTCGATCATCATGCGACAGCTACTTTTTAGATTCTTTGCCCCTATTTTTTCGATCATCATGGGGGGGGGGGTGCCGTTTTACAGGGATTAGTTTGCCCGTATTTGAATCCTCACTTGTACCATGAGGCCTTGCCGCAGAGCAACTGATGACCCCCCTGCTGTTTGTTTTTTCAAAAGTAAATATTTGTTTGGCCCTAATTGAATCATCACTTTTTCAATCATCATGGGGGGGGGCTGCCGCCCCCCCCAACCCCCCCGCAATTTTTTAGACTTTTTGCCCCTGATTGAATCATCACTTTTTTGATCATCATGGGGGGGGGCTGCCGCCCCCCCCAACCCCCCTGCTATCTGTTGGACTTTTTGCCCCTAATTGAATCATCACTTTTTTCGATCATCATGCGACCGCTACTTTTTAGATTCTTTGCCCCTAATTTTTCGATCATCATGGGGGGGGCTGCCGCCCCCCCCCCAACCCCCCCGCTATTTTTTAGACTTTTTGCCCCTGATTGAATCATCACTTTTTCGATCATCATGGGGGGGGCTGCCCCCCCCCCAACCCCCCCCGCCTTTAATTGAATCATCACTTTTTCAATCATCATGGAGGGAATTGCCGCCCCCCCCCCCGCTACGTTTTAGGTGTTTTACAGGGATTAGTTTGCCCGTGTTTGAATCCTCACTTGTACCATGAGGCCTTGCCGCAGAGGAACTGATGACCCCCGGCTGTTTTTTTTTTTTTTGGCCCTTTTTGAATCATCACTTCTTCAATCATCATGGGGGGGGCTGCCGCCCCCCCCAACCCCCCCGCTATTTGTTGGACTTTTTGCCCCTAATTGAATCATCACTTTTTCGATTATCATGCGACCGCTCCTTTTTAGATTCTTTGCCCTTAATTTTTTGATCATCATGGGGGGGGCTGCCGCCCCCCCCAACCCCCCCGCTATTTTTTAGACTTTTTGCCCCTGATTGAATCATCACTTTTTCGATCTACAGGGATTAGTTTGCCCGTATTTGAATCCTCACTTGTACCATGAGGCCTTGCCGTAGTGGAACTGTTCACCCCCCCGCTGCTTTTTTAATATTTTTTTGGCCCTAACTACGTTTTAGGTGTTTTACAGGGATTAGTTTGCCCGTATTTGAATCCTCACTTGTACCATGAGGCCTTGCCGCAGAGGAACTGACCCCCCCCCCCCACTGTTTTTTTTTGTTTTTGTTTTTTTTAATATTTGTTTTGGCCCTTTTTTGAATCATCACTTCTTCAATCATCATGGGGGGGGGCTGCCGTCGTCACTTTTTCAATCATCATGGGGGGGGCTGCCGCCACGTTTTAGGTGTTTTACAGGGATTAGTTTGCCCGTATTTGAATCCTCACTTTTACCATGAGATGCGGGAAGCCAATTTGCTGGTGATGCTGGGGATGTTGGCTGGACAGGCGGGGGATGTTGAAAACGATGCTGATGATGTTGACGGACTAGCGTAAAATACGTACATTTCGCTAGAAAATGCTGTAAATTACAGCATTTTAGTAGCCAGGACGCAAAACAAAAAAAACCCAAAATAAAACAAAAAAAAAACCCAAATTAAATCTCGACCCTTTTATTGCTTCAGCCAGTGGGGTTGAGCTCGCGTGTTGCCAGGTGCTGACTCCCGGCTTATGCTTTCACCGAAGCCCCAAGGAAACCAAAGAGAATCGCTGAGGGAAGGACACGAAATCACCCATATTGCCAGGGCCAGGGGCTGCCAATTGCGCACTTCGGCTACAAATTCGCACCATGGAAATCATACAGTTTCCTTCTCCCTTCAAAAACTACTCACCCTGAAAGATGAGGAGGTACCCTCAAAAGCATTTGGAAGGTGCTGGCAAATGGCCCCAAAATCTAGCCCTTTCTGGGGAGGTTGAAGAACATAGGCATTTCATAGCCATTTGGGGGGTATGGCCCCCAAAATGGCCGGGTTCACGAAAATAGCATTTGATAGACGTTGGGCCCAAAATAGCACCTTTTGGGGAGGTTAAAGAACGCCCCATGTCTCTTTCCACATCTCTTCTTCATATTCTTTCCTTTTCCTTCGTGAGTCACCAATAGACAAGACTCACTGGGGGGGGGGGGGCCTGGTTCTGTGAATTTTGCATCTGAAATCGCAGGCCACCCGCGCGGCGGAGAGAACGCTGCGCCAAGCTCGGGCCCCACTTTGGGCGAGGGAGGGGTGGGGTGCACGGGGGGCGTCGTCCGGGGGGTGGGGGTGGGGGCGATGTTTTCTTGGGTGGGGTTCATGTGTTGCTACCTGAAAATGGGGTCATTACCCGAAATGAATGGGTTATGACCCTTCCATGTCTGGGGGTCATGGAGACTCCAGGTAGGAGTTCATCATTCCCCATGCCTTGTACATTGTTTGCTTTTCGGAAGAAATCGGAGTGATGGGTCCAAAAAGTTGCAGAGGGCTGAGTTGATAGTCTTCCGCTCCGCGTTAGAAGCAGTAATCCATGCAGAGCCATGCAAACAAGGTTGATCATTGATTGCCAGTGTGAGGATGCAACACAAATCGGCCACGTTGCGCAAGAGCAAACACAAACTTAATCGAAGGTGGCTGTCCAAATCTGCCCGTTTGCTCATTGCTTAGATCCCGACCGTGTCTATGCAGCGCAAATGTTGCTAGAGTGCTGGGATATTGCTTTTTCCTGAAGTCACACAGGTTCTTCAGCTATGTATATATTAAGCAGGCGTACAAAACAAAGGAGGCACGGGGGCACGTTCTTGGGGAGACGGAAGACTAGGACAGTTTGCCTGTTCAGGCCAAGAGTCTCGTGGAGGACCACTTCCACATCGACGAGGCGGCCGCGGTCTGGTGTTTAACACCGATGTTTTGGCGCCAGGGCCGAGGGGTCAGCAGACTACCTGGAGTCTTTATGATCCTTTAGACATGGTGTCATTACCCAAAATTAAGGGGTTATGACCCCAGTTTCTAGGGGTCATGGAGACTCCAGGTAGGCTGAAGTGGATGAGATCTCCTTCCAAGCGGAAGACACTTTTCTTCACAGTTGTTTCACCCATGAAATTGTCGTGCTGGGGCTGGATGATGACGACTCATTCATCTTGGGGAAGGGGGACATACTCTAAGATAGACAATGTCCTGGAGTCTCCATCTGACCCCTAGAAAAAGGGGTCACAACCCCTTAATTTCGGGTACTGACCCCATTTTTAACGAGTCATGGAGACTCCAGGTAGACCCAATCTAGCACCATCCAAGGGTGGCTTTTCCATTTGTACCCAAAATTCACACAAAAGCACTGCAGGTACAAAAAGGCAACCCTCGGAGGCTACTAGTAGGTGTGTTGTTTCACCACATGTAGGTGGTTATCTATAAAGCACCAGGTTGATTCGACAACCCATCCAAGTTTGCCGCGATCCGGCGGCCTCGAACCGAAACCACGAGATGGACTTTGCTTTTGGTTTTCCAGTCACCAGGGCAAACCTGGCGTAAACGACCAGATCATGGCCCCTTAAGACGGGAAACGTAATATTGTTGTAACAAACGCGGATTTAGCATAATCAAAAGAGCTCGATATTGGAGTATATGCTACAGGGGCAAACTCAGCCATGAGAAAATGAACGCGTCTCATCAAGCATCAGTTTAATACCCTTCAAAGAGCCATGAAGCTTCCATCAATCATGTTTAAACGCTTAGTTCACCCACCCCGAAGGACCCCCCTCAGCACCCTATGACTTTTCGGCCAGTGACAGTGCCCCGCGCTCAATCCTCGCGCAAGCGCGAGGCGTTCAGAATGCTGGGACCTCTTCGGCAAGACTCCAACCTGGCTAGAGACATGCACGACTGGCGGCTTGGAGAGATCAGCTGATACCTGGAATCTCCATGACCCCTACAAAAAGGGGTCATATAACCCCTTAACTTTGGGTAATGACCTTCATTTTTCAAAGGTCATGGAGACTCCAGGAACCCACTTCCCTAGTGGCGCCCCTTGTTCCTCTTGTTTTTTGGAAGGGTTCCCCTTCAAACTCAACCAACCAAAAAGAATGCCGTTTTGTTCCCATGGCCACTGGGCATCTGAGATGCTCCACGTCGATTGAGGAATCCCAAATTCCCTGAGAGGCAATAGCCGAAAGGAACTCGACACCGAGCCTTGGGGAATGGCGGTTGCCTACATCACGCCATTGGCCGCCCTTGACTTTATGCCTTAAAAGCCGGCCCACGACTGGAGAGAAGCTTCACGACCTTGGGATATGTTTTTTGTGAAGGTTTGAAATCTCAATACTTGTGGTCATTAACCCTGGATGCATGTCTCATTCTTTGCTTGGCAGAGATGTCGCAAAGAGCCCAGGTTCAACCTACTGGCACTTCTGCCTGCATCCGCCTCAGAGTTGGGTTTTTCGCTGCTGCTTTGCGTTTGCAGGGGTCCCTATACGTCCCTTTGACGGATGGTTTGGATGTTATGTTATTTCAATTGTCCGAGAGTCTCCATGACCCTTCAAAAAATGGGGTCATTACTCAAAATTAAAGGTTTGTGACCCCTTTTTCTAGGGGTCATGGAGACTCCAGGGTGATTCAGTGGCCTTTTGCAGACCAGAATCGAAGCTTTTTCATGGGCAGTGCCCCTACTGGGTCAGCAGTGCAAGTGCACGAAGCGAAACGCTTTCCAGCTGCGCAGTGTTTGTCCTGTCAGCAAGGCTTGCGCTTTTACAAGGCCTTTGAAAACAGAAAAATCAATCTCCGCCCTCCCTAGCTCAACTCCTTTCTGGACCGCCTGACCTTTCTGGACCGCCTGAAAGCTTCTCGGAGGCTTTTGCCCACGTTTTGCGTTGCTCTTCTGTGCACTCTTCGCCCATCCGAATGCTCATCTCTTGTAGCGCCATTCAAGTGTCCGAAACACTCGTCTGAAAGTTGGCAGTCGGTGCATCCAACTGTCGCTCCTCTGGCGAAGCAACGGGCCAATTGAAAACCGGTTGGTGTCTCTGAATGAATTCGTGGTTTAGATTTCGGCCCTGCCTGTTGAAGCTTGGGCGAGTCACCGTCCGGGAGCCCCCCCCTCCACCCCCCAAGCCCCCGAAATTCAACCAGCCGTAGGCTGAAGGACTGCGATGCCCATTCCTAGGGTTTATTTTTGGGGGCCACATCCATTTAATTCAGGAGCCCCCTGGGACAAGAAGCCTCAAACAAAAATGTCACGCGCAAGTCTCTCCATGAAAGGGTCCCAGGGATTGCGGATCGAGACATCAAGTTTGCAGCCGGCGGACGGGCCGATGGGATGAGGTCATCTACTTGAACTTGCGGAACTGGTGCTGCCGCAGCCTCGGATATTTTTAGTTTCACACCGCCGGAGATCACAGGAGTGGATTGGTTGAAGGGCACACCAGAGCGCAATGTTTGGGTTGTCAGGGGATCACAGGGGAACTAAAGGGACACCGCCCAGTAGGTTCTCGATCTGAGAAACCTGGACCTGATGGGAATCAATTTGAAAGCCAAGAGGAAACCAATTCGAAGTCGGGCAAAGAATGGCGAAGTCACAAAGCGATTTGGTTTGCGACCCCACCCGAAGTGTCTGTTCATAGCCACTCATTGTTCTGTGAGTTGGTGAAACATCAGACTAAATTAGATTAGATGAAAATCCTTACAAGTCTGACACTGTTGTTTGCGTGCAGTATTATGGCAATGCACAAGTCGTCAAGGAACTTGTGCGAGGTGCTTTAGTTAAGATATCATGGCCATTCTTCTCACAAGGACAAATACAATAGCGCCGATGTTGACTGGGTTCAGATTGAAGTTGTGTTTTTTTGGCACCCTGGGGAAAACCGACGGGCAATCATGCAGATGGGAACATCTAGCATACTTAGTTCCATGGATCAGCCACCTGAAAAGGGAGAAGCTTCACGAGATTTCAGGAGACATGACTCGTATGCATCAGTCCCGGATTCGATGCACAGGGCCCAGAAGGCGTTGGTTGAAGCCCGGACCGGCACTTGAGGCGTGACCTTTTCGCTAAGCATAGTTCGCAATACGCTCATGCCGGGGCTCCTAGTGTGCCATAGCTCGCAGGGCTCGACACGCTGGTGGATTGTTCCTGGTATTCTTCTGTCTCCCTCGGCTCAAATCATCCATTTTCCCACAGTTGTTGCATCACCGACACTTGTCTTGGCAATTTTGGCCGAAGGATGTACTAAAGCGCTCAGGCGCTTAATGCTGTCATTTGTTACATCCTGGTCTGGGATATCATCAGGTTAAGGAGGCAGTGTTGGCTCGCATATGATCCACCCAGTCGAATTCCCTAGACTTGTTCTTGGTCCTGGCAAGAGCCAACCCGTTGGCATGCCATCTTGGATCAACAGGCCGTGTTTTTAGGTCGGGGCCCTGCTGTTGGTCTGACCTCAAGTCAGTTCATTCGGCCCTCCCGATTTAGTAATGAGAAAATGACACAGCTCTTAATAACAACTGTTTGGTAAACGAAAGTGACCACACCAGAAGGTCGAAGATTGGGTATGGGGGATGGGTGGGACATGGATCAGACTGTATTCATGAGAGAGCCTATGCCTGAAGGCACAGTGGAAAGAAAGCAAGGAGCACTACATGTACAAACGGACCACACTGCAGACCTTTTCTTTTTTTTTTTGGGGGGGGGGGGCAGTTTGAGCGATACCGACCGGTTTTCCAGGCGGAGCATTTCTTGGGTGTGTGCGCCGGGCGAGTGTTTTTCTGAGGGAGAAGTCCGTGGTGGAGATGTGGCATGGAGAGGCCTTCTTGACCACTGGCATCCAAATTCACTCCGGAAGGGCGGGGAGCCGTCCTCCAAGTCCAAGTCCATTTTTTTTTTTTTTTAAATATATATTCAAGTTGTTTCTTCTTTTTTTGTGAGGGTACGCCCCAACGGTCCCTTGTACAAGTAGTGCGTGGTTTTCGGCACCCCCCCCCCCCCCACCTTTTGGGCAGTTGGGGGGTGGGCAGCACAGCCCTAACATGTGGGGATCACTTTGCTGAATGGAACCTCACCATGGAGTCATCGAACTTGCACGCTTAGGCTTAGCATGGGGTTGGTGTTAAGGCGGAGAGGGTTTAGTGCGAGTTGCCAGATCAAGTCTCAGTTTCCGTTTCAGTTTTCTCCTCGTTGGTGTGAACCCTGAAGAAACGTGCTTTCCGTTATTCTTCTCCGGCTGCAATTGACAATTCAGGAGAGCCATCCTGGGCCAGTTGAGTTCTGCTTGGAGGATTCTTCTCTAACTGCAATTGATTGACCAACCGGCAGAGCAACCACATTCACCTCGAATTGGCTGTGGGTCAAAAATAGGCATCTAAAATGGAACCCTGGCAAATAGAACCAAAGACTAAAACCTGCGGTCCCCTGGTGATTATTTTTTTGACCCAAGCGGCCAGACTCGTTGAGTGATCGTGATCCTTCAAGCATCGGATTCGCAAGTCGTGCCATCTGATTCGCTCTTCGCGCCCGGGCGGCCAGGTGTTTCAAGAGTTCTGGTGGACGACTCTGGCATACTTCATTGCAGATCCTTGGTGCCATTAGATCCAGGGGTTGCCACTCTCCAACCACATGGATACACAGTGTAGAACTACAGCCGGGAATCCCGGTGGGGTGGTTTGGCAGCGGAAACCATCTTAGATTCCGTGACATGTTGGTTGGTGTTTGCTGGCGATGACTCTGCGATCCTTCTTTCCTCAAACACCGGTCGGTCCCACGAGAAGCACTGTTTCGATCTTTGGAAAGAGGGACCCTTGAAAAAGAATGGGCAATCACCCCGAATTTGATACCCGAGCAGAAAAGAAACAGTTGCGAGGTACTTGCCTAAGTGCTGAGAGGCGTATGTCCGCTGCCTTTTCGAATTCAAAGGCGCCCCTTGCCCTTGAGCATTTGTCGACCTAGGGGCTTCCTCAGGCGCTTCCGCGGTATTCCCTAAGAGCCCAGGTTAGTCTCCGAACGGGAGCCATAATAAACGACGCGGGAAACCCGAGCATCATGATGGGGGTAGCCTCAAACCTCAATCAACCGGGGCCTGACGAATCCCAGGTTCCTATTGCAACCCTCTTGGGAGAAGCCAGATCTGAACCGAGGTGCAAGGCATTGTCTCCTCAACCCCAAAAAGCGTAGCCTCATAACTGACAACCCAGCATGCCCCAAGGACATCATTTGGGTCGTCGTGCTGCCAGATTGTGTCAAGCCCGGCCCCCAATGGTGCTGTTCCGAGCGGTTTGGCGTTGGAGTGACGGGCGCGGCACAGAGATCAGGGGATCCAGGTCAATCAACCTGGCTGAGTAAAAAGGGCGTGCAGGCAACATACGTGTGTGATCCCCAGTCCGTCTAAAAGGCAACCGAAATGTTTAACGCAAGCCCCTTTTGCAACTTGTTCTTTAGCTTATTTTTTTTTATGCAGACTTGTTGGACAAGCAGTGTGGCCGATACCAGGAAAGCAATTAATATATATATATATATATGTATATATATGTATGTATGCACCGTACATGTAAATTTCATACTACTTGCAACTTATACACATTGGTCACGAAAAAGGCCGACAAAGCTGCAATCACGACAGATCAGGCTCGCAAGAAATGCTCTTCAGAGATCATGGCTTCAGCATGCAGCGTTGCCGTTGTTTTGTGAACTAATGTTACCAGTTGGCAATACGGGAGCCTGTTTGACAGACTACAAACAGACCGCACGATTCGTCCATGTCCAACAGGGGTGATCATGGCCAACGGGTGGAGAAGGAGCATTGCGTTGCAGGGTGCTTGCAATTTGTGTTACGGTGCACAACGGCTTGTGTTGTTGTAGGGTGCCTGGAAAAGAAATAAGCAATGCAACATCCCTATTCCCTGTTGCCTTCTCGGCCAAAACCATGGCATGTCAGGTCCATGCCTCGTTGCCATGTGGCGACTGCTCAGGTCGCCGGGGGTGATTTTGAAGCACCACTTCGCGACTGTAGGACCGATTCGTTGTCCATCCTCTAGGTGTTTCCCGGCATTCTGCTCAAATCATGTTCTTTGAACAGCGGTTTCTTGTGGTTTGGTATGTTTGCTGGAGAGAAGGAGCGTAGAGCTGTGGAGGATGGGGGTGGCAATCTGAAAGCCTCCAGAAACAAACTCCGGCAAGACGTACGGAAGTGGAAATGGTTTGAAGCCCCAGCCGAAGGAAAAGAGCAACTCACGGAAATTAGCGCTCCCCCAGAACTCGGGACAGTGTTGCGCTAACTCTTCCGAGCGAGATGGGCGCGTCTCGTTGGATGAGGCACCCATTTTTGGGGGCTGTTTGCAAGATCAACCATGGGGAAAAACAAACAAACATTGCGTCGTTCGGGGAGACAAAGCCCTATTGTCACGTATCAGAAATGCAAAGCCTGGGCAGCATGTCGCACTTGCTGGGCTCACCAATTGCACGCAGGCTTGGGCAAAGTCTGCTTAAACAACCAGGCTTGAGGCTCGCAAAGTGATATGAGACCAAAGTGATATTTACATAATTACCACGTGGAGGCTGTTTGATCAGTTGTTTACTCATGTTTACACCAAAGTGTCGCCGAAGCCCGAGAGTAAAGGGTGCACTTCTGGTTGCCTCGACTCCAGATAGCTGTTCGCTGGTGTAGGCTTGTCGGCGGTTCTCCGTTTCTGCCTGCGGGGTTCCTTCTGCCGGACTTTGCTGGATTTGTGTGGAGAGTTTTCAGTAAGAGTCCAAGGCATCTTTTGGAGCTGAAGGGGATTTTGCGTAGTTGTTTGCGTTTCCGTTCGGAGCGGGAATCAATGGCAGGTTTATTCAGGGTTTTGCCTCGGCATTTTCGACCCGTCGCTCGAGTGAAGCATGAAAGCCTAGGTCCATCCATTGAGGTGCAAATGTGTGCGCAACTTACAAAGCATTACCCTAAAGGAAAACAATGTGGCGCGCAACCCTCGGAGCTTACGAGTGATATTCGATACCGCGTGTCAATGTTTTCTCTTCGGGGGCGGCTCGTTGCCCTCGTTGCCCTCGTTGCTAGCTGTGCAAAGGCCATTGCCGAATCGCGCAGCCGATCTGAAGACATGATGTTGGGAACTGAGGACAGCCCCCAAACGGCTGTGGCTCAAAATTCAAGAGCTAGGATTACGCGGTTTTAGTCTTTGGTTCCATTTACCAAGGTGCCATTTTGGTACATTTATTTGAGCCACATCCAAACATGAAAATGCTCATGCAAGCAACTGGACATGTGGATCTGCCAGGCTGGCAATGCTTCCTTTGTCCTCTTTTTCTGCCCAAAACAAAGGCACCGCGGTCTGCGGTAACTTTCAATTTGGCATGCGAAGCGTGGTAGGCGGTGAAGAGAGCCGGTGTGGACAAAAGACCGGTTCCTTTGCTTGACCTTGGGTGGTCATCCGCGTAGCCTGGCGTTTAGGCACCGACCCACATACGGAGTTTTGCCCGGAAACTCCTTCCGGATGAAACCATTCATGAGAAAGATCTTGAGGGTTTGTATGCAATGGAAGGCGTAACAGAGAGCGACCATGTGAAACTTGGGGTACCACCATGTGTGGTAGGCAGGCTGTCATTTGCGGGGCAATCCCGTGGTGCCATCGGGGCCACCTTGTACGCCTTGCAAGCTTGTCCACGCAACGGTATTTCGCTTTTGCAACAGGAGGGGCACAGCTTTCTGCTTGTTAACTCCACTCCGAGCATCTATGTCCCGCTGCAGGTCTGACTTGCATGTGCAATCTGGGCCGCAGTGTTTGACTTCCCAGCCTGCCAACGCAACGGCATTTGGCGCGTGCAGGATGAGCGCAGCCTTCAAGCAAGCCAAGTTGCCACTCCGAACATCCATCCCATGGTGGAACTGTGTGCAGCACAAGCCTCATGCCTCAGACACAGGGGCCGTCCAAGCGAAAACAAGCAAGTCGTCCCGCAAGACCTGGGATCCCTGGCTGGGCCCTCGCGATTTGCAACAGCCAAAGTGTTTGCTTCGAATTGGGTTTAGTAGCGGTATGTAGCTGTTTGGTATTGGTTATTGGTTGAGTACTGGCTCTAACTGTCACCTAACATGACCGCAGTTGGGGTCGGCGGGGAATTGGTTGGCTTAGCATTTGCACCCTTAACATACTTTAAGTTTTAATTATTAATTTGGTGGTGAGAGATGCGGGCGTTTTGAAACATATTTCGCGGGTACATTTAGTGAGTAGAAGGGATCATGTGTCATGGTTTTTTGGTTTGGTTCTGCGAAGCTTCGGCAAGCAGATGTCTCGGCTTGCCGGCGAGGATACATCTTCATTCCCAAGCTGCGGCCAGAGCATGGCTGGCTCATGGGGGCCTGCATGATCGTCGAGGCATCGATCGATGCATCCGCATCCGGAAGTCCGCATCCGCCTGAAAATGCGCATAGGGAAAATACCACAAACAGATATGATAAAACCCCGTTGGTTTTTGCTCAACCACAATGTGGAGAATCACATTTCAAGTTTGCAGCTTCTGGACAAAGCTGTGGACCGTTCTCTCGTCCTTGAAACCTTTGACCAAGACGCACAATGCGACGCCCGCACTGTCCGCTCACCGCTCCGACGCTCCTAGAACAGTTGTTTTGTTTACCCAAGGGTGCAAGGCTTCTGTTGAGTGTGCCTCCTGCCGGAGAGTGTCTTGTTTTTTGGGCACAGCGTGGTGGCAATGGGGTTTTGAGGGCGATGAATTATCAACTCCCCACCTGTTTTTGTTGTGCCCTTAAGCAACCTTGTTGCTTTCGCATGTGGGAATGTGACGAAGAGATTTGCAACGGTTTCAGAATAGTTCCCTTTCAACGCTGTGAACAGGAAACACCATCCCATGAGCAGGGGCGAGTTACATGTTGCACATGGGTCTGCTTGTTTGTGCAGATATCCTTGCTCGGGCTTGTTCCTTTTGAGGATGCCAAAACAAACGATGAGGTGCTCGCTGAAGCCTGGGTCGACTCCCTCCGCCGCGAATTTCTCACGGCTTCCAGGTCAACACTTGGTTCCTCATCGCGCGGCGTGCACTGAACAAGCGGGGCGACCGCATGCTGGGAACTCAGGGTTCAAGGTGTCGAGTGCTCGATTTGAATCTTGAGTGTGTGTGTTTTTTTGTGGAATCGGACCTCCGAAATGGTGGTTTTCTTCTTGGGCCTTTCTCTTAAAACCACAGAGACCCACCCATTCATGTTGTTGGGTTGGCCAGTTCTCGGTTTGCTTCAGCTTGTCAGTCGCACAGACTGCTTCGTGCCAGCCAGCGCACCGAGAAACCAACCTGCAACGGCAAGCTAGTCCAGACCAATCCAAGCCAACTTGTCCAATCAACCAAGCAAGCACCAGCCAACCAACCGACCAATGACTGCCGACAACCCACAGCAACAAACTAAACCAGACCAAACCAAGCCAACTCAACAAGCTAAACAAAAGGACAAACCAACACACAGCATCAAACCCATGAACCTTATCAGCCGAACAAACCGGCGAGCAATCAAAGAATCAAAGCCCAGTTCAGGGAGCCCTTCGCGGCCCGGGCCCCGGGCTCGGATGTCCGTTCGCGTGCCAAGGTTCACCACTGGCGTTACGGTTTGGAAGCACGGCTGGCAAGTTTGGCCGGGCGTAGCCTGGAATGACTCCCTTGAAGCTGAATGCTTGCAGGCACCGGAGCATTTACGCAGACAGCCAGACCGGAGTTCAATGTCCTTGGTCCGGAGAATTTTGGACGCCTTGTACCAGAGAAAATGTTCCCTCCAAGGAGCTTGGAGGGAACACGACCAAGGAATATGCCCCCCGTTTTTGTGCTTGCCCAATCACATGCGGGTCTGTCTTTTTTGGAGGGTAACAAAAAGACCCACTCATGGCCAAAATCAGTTTCGTGAAGCAAATCTCAAAGAGACTTCATCACCTTAGGTCAACGCCTCTTCAGTTTGAACGCCTCAAATTTCATGTGGGTGTGTTTGTTATAAGGAGACCCCCCCCAATGACGGCTTTTTCCTTTTGGTTCCCCTTTTTTCACCAACGAACAGTAAGGTTCCCCAACGACACAACCCATGAAGTCTTTGCGACATGGCAGGTCTATACGGATGTCCACAATTTCATTCTGCTTTTACCTCACCTGGCGGGGCTCCTAGAGACCTGAGGCGGAGGTTGCTTTGAGTTCCAACTCAAATCGGCTGGCAAGGCCCAGGATGTGGTGCTAAGGTCGCAACAGCAATATGGCGCCATGAATTTTCATAGGGAACCACCTCAAAAGTGATTGATGGACATGAATCCCGAGCCAAATGATGTCCACCAAAGGGTGCCTGATTCAAATTAATATCCATATACCACTGAACTCTTGGACTGAAGAGTATGTTATAAGACAGAGCCCCGAAATTGTGGAATTATATGAACATGGGAACCTGACAGACGTGAGCATTGTTTTGAAAATCAGGGTGTCATGTGACAGAAACCAACGGGGTGCGCATGCAAGCATCCTGGCAGGTTTGTTATCCGACTGATCATCTACCCCTATTTGATGGTGGTGATCGTTCGTGCAGATGCCTTAGCCTGCGCAACGTTGCAGTCGGTCACACGAAGCACAATGCAAGGTGGGCATAGCCCAAGGTGACACTCAGGAATCTTACAAGGTGAAGCTTATCTGACTGGTGCTCAGTAGGGAATGTGGGAATGAACCTGGGGATTTCCTTACAGGAAAACCACCAGGTAGATGGTTTATAGGGGTCATTCCATTCTCATTCCCTGCCTATCACACCAGCAAGTGAACGATCGACAGGAGGGTCACGACAGCGACGCGGTTGTTGGGCTGGGCGGAACTCCATGCCGGTTGATTACCTAAGCAGCCAAACTGTGTTTGTGTCATGGACTGACTGCCTGAAAAAAGGAGTCATAACCCCTGAATTTTGGGGAATGGCCCCATTTTTTTACGTTCATGGAGACTCCAGGTGCAGTCAGGGGGACCCTGAAAGGTCCTGAACATCCCAGGGCCCAGTTAGAACCCATCAAAAGGTCACCCACACTGAAGCCGACTGGCGTGCGGACCAAGGAGTGGATCAAGGAGTCACACAGAGTTGGGACGCCGCTCAACATCATCGCCATCACCCCGGTGATGCAGGCAAAATGCAAGTGATGACTGCAACTACGGCAAATAACCAGGTGAAAAATAGGAGACATAGCCCATAAGTGTTAATTTGCCCAAAGGAACACCGCACGGGGATGTTTTTTTCTTGCACACCCTGTTTACCCGGTTCAAGCCAGCAAGAGATGCGCCATGGGTTCAAAGATTGCGTGTCTTGTTTTGTGATCCAGGTCAGCGAGCACTGCTTGGATCGGAAAAAACAAGAAAGTGGGATGAGACGAACTGACAGCCAGCAGAGTCGACCTTTCCTGCATCACTTGGGTATGAAGCAAAATGAAACCGCCGGGGAACTGCAGGTGTTAGTCCATGCTTCCATTTGCCAGTGTTCCATTTTGGGTACCCATTTCGGACCCGCAGCCACTTGTTGATGTGGAGTCCCGATTCCGGTCTTTCATGCGGTTGAAAATTCATGTCTGGCGATTCGGCACTCATTGCTACGCTTTCGATTCTGGTGTTTCATGCGTTTGAAAATTCATGTCTGGCACTGCCTGCGCCGCCTGCCAGTGCGTCTTCATCTTCCTGAACATGAAGTGGACGGTGGATTTGATCCGATCCAAGCTGAAGGGGCGCGGAGCATCCAAGGGCCTGTGATGCATGGGAGTTTCACGGAAGCCGCACCGCAGAACCGATTGGAGCGGGCTGTGAAAGGTCGAACGCCCAAGACAAGAAAATTCGATACTCTGTTCCAAAAGATGGAGC